TCCGTGTCTCGTGCGCCACTTTGCGTCTGGTCGGAGGCCGGCCGAAAAGTACATTCGCGCAAGGTCCTGAGTGACCTTGTCTGTGCCGTCAAGAGTAACGTGGGCGTCGGGCAGAAGCGACCACCACACCTCAGCCCCAGCCTCTTCCCCGCTCATTGCCACCTTCGGTATCTGCTCCCTCACACTGGACCTCGGTTTCGGACGTTTATTTCTTTGGGTCTTTGTGGCTGCTAAAAGTGCCCTGTACCGTTCTCGGTGCAAACTTTCTCACCACTTTCGTAGACCACTCTGACTCCCGTCCAGATGACCAGACCACCAAGCTGACCGTCCGAGGTCTCCACGCCTTCGATGTGCCGCGTCAACTTGCCGTCCTGGACCCTGACCTTGATAGCCCATTTCGGCAGATTTATCGCAGGGCATTAAGTGAGTTAAACCCAACAACTGTGATCTTCGGGCCATGGCTACTTAGGTGAGAATTATTTCGAAGGCCAGATTAGTAGGAACAGTAGATTGTATACACAAAGGAACGAAAAACAGATGGAAAGAGATTTGACTTGGAGAGCAAACAACCGGCCAGGAAAACCAGTCGAGTCCAAGTGGTGGCTTGGCGGCAGTCATGCCAGTAGACAGAGAAAGAGAGCGTTCATTGGCTGGGTCGGCCTTGAGGTTTTGGGCCAGGCAGTTAGATGGCGTTGGGAACGCGTGCATGCTTGCTATTCATCGCCGGCCCCAAACGGTCTCTATGTGGGAACTGTGATTGGCTGATCCAGGCGTCGAGACTAGTGTTTGTGAGCCTTCAGGAAAGGTCACTTCGACTCGAGCTAGTCACAACAGTTCTCGCCAGATATCGTAGTCTCACCCGTCCCACCTTCAGTGCTTCCGCACTACCACTTGAGGTTGTGCATCGCATCAAATCCAATGGTCTTCCTGTGTGTTTTCAGCCCCATTATCTTGCGCTGCCAAGACTGAGTTTGAGCACACGCTTCCGTCAATCGTCAATCAGGATTTAACAAGATTATTTTCGTGTGTGCGTGGACCCTTTT